ATATATATATATATATATATATATATATATATATATATATATATATCTATTTGTATGTGTATATATATGCATGTATATATATTTATATATGTATATATATATACATACATATACATATGTGTATATAATATATACATATACATATATATATATATATATGTATATATATGTATATATATACATATATGTATATACATGTATTTATATACATACATATTGGTCTCCGGTTGCCATCAAGTTGGTGTTGATGAACGTTATCCTGATACGTCATTCGTGGCGACACTTTCCTATCGTGATGCCTCCAACTCACTGCTACATCCAACAATATCCGGTGATGCTTCGATCGCCAAATTCCATTGTGGTGATGAAACCTGGTGGCAAACCCATCGATCATGAGTTGTCATTTGTCTTGTGCATAGCATCACAGTGCTTCATCGACCACCCTTCACATTGCCACTAGGAGTAGTACCCAAATCATCATCGCCCAAAACACCCTTCAACGCTACTTGAGGCACCATGCCACTTACAACCTACGCATAACCATCTCACTGCGACATCTCCACTGCATGACCATCACCCAAATGCTAGGCTGCTATTTGCGAGTAGCACACGGACCATCATTGTGGGCCTTGTGGCCTTTAATGACTCTGCTACAGACAAGCACATGTTTACAGGAAACCATCTCACTGTGTACCTCATCTGCGACACTCGAAGTGGTCTTCGACTATCATCAAGTTGGCGTTAATGACTATCACGATGCACCATCCGCTCGTGATGCCTCCTATCTCATTATGACATCTAGCAATCTCCGACGATGCTTCCATTGCCAAATTCCATTCGTTGTGACGAAACCAAATGCCAATCCTTACGTGACTATCGCCCTTAATAAGGCTACTGAACCACTGTCGTTACCCAAGCCTCCATTGGTACTTTACGATGGAGACCTATGACCACTGTCGTTACCCAAACCTCCATTGATACTTTACGATTGCTAGTCATAGGTACCCTGCAAGTCAATCACATGAGTGATGACATGTGTGACATGATACATATTCTTTTTACTTATTATTATTTGATATTTTATCATTTTATATTACTTGTTACATACATAAATACATTGTGATGTTCGTGGATCTGTGTAATGAGAATCATGATAAAATCACGATAATAAGATCGATTCACCTTTAAATACAGACCCTAAAAATCCTGGTCATAGGTTACTCGAGAGGGACATCGATATACCAAACAGACTAGTATACTATATACTCGTCCATATAATGAAGGCATCTGGTCACATATCTGCTCATGTGGGGACACTAGGGATACAATGCATGTGCTCATTGGAAAATAAGTTCACTAATTGATCCGCTCATGGAATGCTAGATGGTTGATGATGTCCCATTGTCAAATAATAATTCTATTATCCCAGTGGTGTACCTAGTTCTTAGACTTGAGACACTAATGATGTCCTATATAAGTACTCTACTATTTGATACTGGACTTATAGGTTTGGAAATTCCATATCTAGCACAATTGATCATCGAGAGTGATAGTTATCCTTACGAGGCTATTGAGTATTGATAAAGGATCATCTGCTCTCGATATCATAAGAGGAATATCATATGTGTTCTTGCTTAGATAAATCTTTGACCAAGATCATTTGAATCGTGAGAGAAAGAGTTCTTCGGGAGAATGATTAGAGCGCAACCCGAGTAGAAACCATATGGGTCTGATAGCACCATGCCCGGTATATGATCTTTGAGGTATTAGATGGATGAAGGACTATAGATACATGGTAAATGATGATAAACAGGTCTAATAGATTGGATTTTCCTGTATCGTTTGGGGACTGCGGCGTAGTGGCCTAGTACATCTGTAGTCGATGAGTCGAGTGAATTATTACGAAGATAATAATTTACTGAGCCAGAATGAGTTTTGACAGGTATAACTCACGGCTAGCTTGATATTGGGACTAGAGGATCACACACATATGGTAGGTGTTGCGACGAGTAGAGGTTTGGATATGAGATATCCGTTGGAGCTCACATCTTATTGGATATCCAATTAGCTAATAATTATTGGATCATATGGATGAGATCCAATAAGAGCCAATAAGAGATCATTGGGTAAAGACCCACTAATCTAAGAGGTTTGGGTAGTTGGATGAAGATTCATTAGGGTTAAGTTGACAAAGGACCTTTATAAATAGGTGGGAACCAATGGCCCGTAGTGTCATGGCCTTAGCTAGAATTGCCTAAGGCGTGAGGCACCCTTGCGGCCAAAGACGCGAACTTAGCTTGCGTTGCCTAAGTCACGAGTCACCCTTGCGGCAAAGACGCAAACTTAGCTTGCGTTGCCTAAGTCGCGCTTCGCCCTTGCGATATTGCTCCGCAAGGATCAGCCCACTTGTAACCTCTCGCAGGTCCCGAAGGACCTGTAAAAGAGAAAGTTGATTAGATCGAAAGAACGAGCAACGGACAAGTCCCGAAGTCTCACGAAAAGGGGAAGCTTTACAAGGAATTCAGCGAGCACCTTACGTGCACAAGAGAAAAGAGGGAGAGGGGGAAAACAAGGGCTTTAGAAGGTTGAACGAACAGCTGCAAACCCACAAACAGCCGCTCACCTGGTCCCGGGCGCGACAACAAGTTCCCATCAAGGCAACGTGCGAACTTGCGAAAGAGTGTTCAACGCCCGGTATATATCCGAAGCCCCATCCAGCCCTGTGCCACCCGGGGGGTTCAAAGGGGCTGAGATGGCTGACGTTTTGGTGAGTGAAGGTAGATTCCAGAAATCAGCTTGCGACACGCGAAAACGGAGCTGTTTTGGGCTGTTTTGCTCGGTTCGGTGAGCAGTCGTTTTGTAACGCTGCAGCTTGTTCGAACTTACATTTTTACAAGCAAAATAACCCAAAACCAAGAGAAAACATGCTGTCAAACAGCTGTACATGTAGGTGTGAGCGACGAACAGTTCGTTGAACGGAGTTGTTGCGAGTGCGCGATGACCGTTCGTGACATTCTCCCCCACTTAAACTGTCGACGCCCTCGTCGACGCTTGTTGGTAGTTGTTGATGATTTCTTCTTCATGTCGCAGGGCGTCTTCAGGCTCCCAACTGGCTTCAGTTTGGGGAAGCTTTCGCCACTTCACCAAGTACTCTGTCTGCTCAGCTCCGTTGGGTAGCTTTATCTTGCGGTCCACTAGAATGGTTTCAACTCGCTTCTCGTAGGAGGCTGTGATGGGAGGTAGCCGAGTTGGAACACTTCGGGAAGCATCTTGTGGATCCGAGTGGTAGGCTTTTAGGTTGCTGGCGTGAAGAACGTTGTAAATTTTGAACCACGCCGGCAACTGCAACATGTAAGAGACATTACCTACCCTGCTGATAATTGGGAAGGGCCCTTCATACTTGTGCACTAATCCTTTGTGGACTTTATTCCTAAAGAATTGGAGTGATGCTGGTTGGAGCTTTACCAACACTAAATCGCCAACTTTGAACTCTTGCGGTCGCCTTCCCAAGTCTGCCCACTTCTTCATCCTTTTTGCCACCTTCTCTAAGTAAGCCCGTGCAATATCTGCATTTCGATGCCACTCCTTTGCGAAATGGTAGGTTGACGGACTACTCCCAGTATACCCAATGGCCATGGTGTGCGGAGTCGACGGTTGTTGTCTAGTTATGATCTCGAAGGGGCTCTTGTTGGATGCAGAGCTCCGCTGCAAGTTGTAGGAGAATTGGGCAATGTCCAATAGCTTCACCCAATCTCGTTGGTTGGCACTCACATAGTGCCGAAGATATTGCTCCAGGAGCGAGTTTATCCTTTCAGTCTGGCCATCCGTCTGGGGGCGGAGGCTTGTAGAGAAGTATAACTTTGACCCCAACAATTTGAATAGCTCGGTCTAGAATCGTCCCAGGAACTTAGCGTCTCGATCACTAATGATATTGTGCGGGACTCCCCAATACTTCACCACATCCTTCATCATCAGCTTGGCCACCTCCTCTGCTGAACAGTGTAGGGGAGCAGCAATGAAAGTTGCATACTGTGAAAACCGATCGACCACCACGAGTATCGATCTGAGTCTCCCTACAAGTGGCAAGCTTGATATGAAATCCAAGGAAATACTCTCCCACGGCCTTTTTGGTACGGGCAACGGCTCCAAAAGTCCCACTGGCTTCCGTTGCTCCACCTTGTCTTGTTGGCAAGTAAGGCATGTTCGAACATATTCCTCCACATCAGTCCCCATCTTCGGCCAGTAGAAGGCCCTCTCCACGAGAGCCAATGTTCTGTGAATGCCTGGGTGTCCAGCCCAATGGGAATCGTGACACTCTTTTAAGAGTTCACGCATCAAATTGTCCACTCGGGGAACATAAATCCTATTCCCTTTTGTGTAAACGAGTCCCTCCTGGACCTAAAATCGTCGTGCCTTGCCTTCTTTGATGAGCTGCATCAGGATAACTACCTGGGGGTCACTATACAATCCATCCCTGATTCTGGAAAGGAAGTTGGAGTGCAACTGACTTGCTTGGCCTCTGCCCTCCAATTGTGCGGCATTCACACGCTCCACCTTCCGACTCAATGCATCGGCCACGACATTTGCCTTCCCAAGCTTATACTCCATTGCCATATCAAATTCAGCCAGGAAGTCCTGCCAACGCGCCTGCTTTGGGGAGAGCTTCTTCTGAGTTTGGAAATAGCTCAGAGCGATGTTGTCCGTCCTCAGCACAAATCGCGATCTGAGGAGATAGTGTCGCCAAACTCGTAGACAGTGGATCACCGCTGTCATCTCCTTCTCATGCATTGGATACCGCCGCTCGGTCTTGTTGAGTTTGCGGCTCTCGTAGGCCATAGGATGACCCTCCTGCATGAGTACTCCCCCAATAGCGAAGTCCGAAGCATCTGTATGGACTTCAAAAGGCTCCCCATAGTCTGGCAATTTGAGCACTGGTTCTTCCATAACAGCAGCCTTCAGATCTTGGAATGCTATTTCACATTTGTCAGACCACTTCCAAGGCTGCTCCTTCTTCAGCAACTCCGTCAGTGGGGTTGCACGTTTCAAATATCCCGCTATGAAGCGTCGATAATAATTGACGAAACCAAGGAAGGATCTCAACTCTGGCACCTTCTTTGGAGTTCGTCATTCCACAACCGCTTGCACCTTCGACTTATCCATTCGAATGGAGCCATCACCGATTCGATGTCCCAAGAATAATATCTCAGTTTGAGCAAAGTAGCATTTCTCCCTTTTCACGAACAAAGTGTTCTCCCTTAGAACCTTGAATATCGTCCGAAGGTGTTTGACGTGCTCCTCGAGCGTTTGACTGTAGACGACGATATCGTCCAAGTAGACGACCACAAACTTATCCAAATACTCCTTGAATAGCTGGTTCATGAGAGTGCAGTATGTGGCCGGAGCATTGGTTAAGCCGAAAGGCATCACCAAGAACTCAAACGCTCCATACCTGGTCATACAGGTAGTCGTCGCTTCGTCGCCTTCAGCAATGCGCACCTTCCAATACCCCGACCGAAGGTCGAGTTTTGAGAAATACTTAGCTTTGCCCAATTGGTCGAACAAGTCCGCAATGAGTGGGATGGGATACTTGTTCTTCACTGTCACTTTGTTGAGGGCTCGGTAGTCTACACATAATTGGAGGCTCCCATCTTGTTTCTTCTGGAAGAGAACCGGAGCTCCGAAAGGTGCTTTAGAGCTGCGGATGAGACCACCGCTTAGCAGTTCACCTAACTGCTTCCTGAGTTCTGCCAACTCTGGCGGGGGCATGCGATAGGGTGGTCTCGCTGGAGGCTTCACTCCTGGCTCCAGCTCGATGCTGTGATCCACGCTTCTGCGTGGTGGAAGAGTCTTCGGCAACTCGGGTGGCATAGCGTCCTTGAACTCTTTCAGGACGTTCGCCACCACAGCAGGTTCTTGAATGACCTTCTCGTTGAGTGGCTCTAGCTTCATAGCAGCCACGAATGTCAATTTGCCTTTTCGCACCCCTTTCTTCAATTGTAATGCCGATATGTGTTAGGGCTCCTTGGGTCCTCTTCGAGAGACGGGAACCACGCAGGGGTCATCGCCTCCTATCATACATAGGGAGTTCAAGAATGGCATTGGCACCAACTTCGCCGCGTGCATAAACTCCATTCCAAGAATCACTTGGAAGTTATCCAATGGCACGACCATCATGTTGGTGTTTCCGCTCCATGTCTCGATTTTGATGGGAACACCCTTCGCCGACCCGGAGATTCGCCTGGCCTCCGAGTTCACCGCCTTCATTCGGCTTGGGCTCTTCTCCAAGATCAACACAAGTCGCTGTGCTTCTTGATTGGCTATGAAGTTGTGGGTAGCGCCCGTGTCCACCATTGCACGGGTCGTTTGACCATTTAGCTTGATGTCCACATACATCAGCTCACTACTTCCTGCTTTTTGTAGCTTTGTCTTGATGTTCTCCCCCACTTGACCCCGCATGGTATTCAACAAACGTATTGCTCCCATTCGGGGTCCTTGCGACTCCTTGTCGTCGCTGCTGGATTCAGAACTGCTCGAATTAAGAGCAACAGCTTTGCCCTTGTCCGATCGGGGGGGGGTGGATGGAAGCCGTCAAAGCATTGAGTGCTTGTTTTTGTGGGCACTCCCTCACCATGTGCAGTCCTCCGCATAAGAAACATCCTCCAGGTTTTGAGGTCTTGCCTTTCGGGTTTGGGCCTTTGTGGGAACTCTTCTTCTTTTGTTCGCCCCCGAGTTCCTTCCCTCGAGAATGTTTTGGAGGGCGATTGCCTGAAGATTGTTTCCTTCTCCCTGGGTCAACCTTTTGTCCATGATTCCACTCGTATAGGTGAGAAACCTTCATCATCCACAAGCAAGCAGACAACTATGAGATAAACAATATAGATCATATCACCCTTTCGAAACAAAGGGCGAAAATACAAAACATATATGATACTTTTATGATCTAGGGTATTTGATTTCAAAATAGGCTCTGATACTATTTGTAAGCATAAAAACTATAATCATGCCGTTGTTATACGAAAAAATTTTAATATCAGAATCTAAAATCAAATAATAATAGATTAAATTTAGAATGCATACCTCTTAATATCAATCAGAATACATTTCTTCTACTGTAAACGTATTATCATCCGATCCCAAGGAAACGATTTGCAAGAAATACTAGACTCGTCTTCTATTTTCTTATCCTTGGTAAGATCACTATAAACGATGGAATAAGAACTAAGGAAATATTTGAGTAGATCTATAATCTCTCTTTTGTATATAGTCCCTAGGAGGTCATGTTGAGTCCTTCCCAACACTCAACATGACCATTGAATAAGATCTCCAAATTAGTAATTAGCATAGTCCTTCCCATATCATCTCTAATAAAAAAAATTATATCATAACTTAACTTCATTTTTATTGATCGATAACTTTATATATATATATATATCCAATTAAATAGGATAATACAATCCAACCCAACTCTAATTAAATGCAAAACATCAACGACACATACCAGTAGCCATATACTCTGGAGCTGCGTATCCCATGGTGCCCATGATTCGTGTCGTTACATGCGTGTCTCCATCGGTTGGCCCATTCTTCGCCAGACCAAAGTCCGAGAGTTTTGCATTGTAGTTCTACACAAAGAAGAGATGAGATGCATAAATAGATCAATCGATCGATCTTAGCCAGCATATGGAGTGCTGGAAGCGAGAAGTTTACGGAGTCGAGGAGGATGTTAGCAGCCTTGAAGTCCCTGTAGATGACTTCCTTCTCTGATGTATGTAAGAACGCAAGTCCTCTGGCCGCACCGATGGCTATTTTCAGCCTCAGACTCCACGACAGTGGCTCATAAGATTCTCCTTCTGCCTCAGGAAAGAAAATTTTCAATTCTGTGACGGCATCCACACTCGACTTATGGGATCACTAACATCATTCTAAGAGCAGCTCAAGAGAAGAAATCACTCTCTGGTATATAATTTCAGTGATGTTAAGCTCCAAATTCTAGAAAGCTAGAATTGCAGGATAAAGTCTTTCCAGAAGAAAACAGAAAAGATGAATTGCATCGAAGATACTGAAATCAGTATCTGGGTTTAAACTCACTTCTGAAGAGGTGGCTTTCCAAGCTTCCCCTTGCCATGTACTCATACACCAGGAGAAGCTCATTGTCCTCCAAGCAATAGCCCAACAGCTTGACAAGGTTGGGATGTGAAAGCCTCCCAAGGAATTTTACCTCAGACTGCAACCATAATCCACACAGCAGTAATCTTAGTGGGAAGAGTTACCTCTCTTGTGCTACAAACAACACAATCAACACATAAATAGTGTAAACATGGCATTTTCTACTTCCTTAGATCCTTATGTCAGCTGCTTCCTGAGATCATTTATTTCCTCAAGAAACATCTCGAGATGATCGGGAAATATGTACTGAACAACAAGTCTGGATTCAAAGATGACTGGGGGAATTACCTGCCATTGTTCCAACCCTTGCATGCTATCAGGGCTCAGTTTCTTCACAGCGACTATCATTCCCAGTCCAGTCTTTGCAGGATTCAGAGTCTTCTCTTCCACCCATCCCTTGTACACTCTCCCAAACCCACCCTCCCCGAGTATCGTATCAGGCCTGAAGTTTCTGGTGGCAATCTTCATCTCCGCAAACGTGAAGGTTCGAAGATTCGGCACCTCCAAGATCCGGCCCTCCGGAAACTCCTCGTCGCCGCTTGCGCCGCTGACGGTGGACCGACCGAAGCTGCAACTATGGGTCGAGAGCTTCTCGGTGGTGGCGTCACTGCTGCTGGCCTTGAATGTCGATTGGTGCCCTGTGATTCCAAGAGAGGAAGGGGACGAAATGGAGAAAAGGGCTCAACTTTATCCCGACAGAACCCAATGGAAAGCAGAAAACCTCGGAAGGAACAGTCGGAAGCGGAGATGAGTCGAGGGAAACATGCTAATGTCCAGGTCAAATAGTAAGAAACCAAACAAGAAGTAGAATCGAGAGGGAAGCACAACCAGAATAAGATAAAGAATCCAACTGTTGCCTTTTTATAGACACACATGAATCCGACTCTCTTTCTTGATGGAATTATACCTGTATTGGATGGCTGCCGATAATTCGCACAGAAAGTACAGCAATTCCCCATATTCAATTCCTTCTTGCTCTTGTCCGCTCTCCCTCCGAAGAGAGAATGAAGGGAACACAAGGCAAAGATAATGGCAGCAAGTCGACAAGAAGCAGAAAGGGGAATCTTGACCTGTTCCACACACACACACACACACTCTCTCTTCCACAGTCACCGGTCTTCATAAAGTCAATCCTGCGCTGGTTGTGGAATTCAACACCATATAAGCTGTGGAATTCAACATCCATAATCCATCGAAATTGTAATTTTGGTGAGGAATCGCATGATATGATTGGCGGTATGACAAATGGGGCATCTCCAATCGTTCATTCACGTAAAACTCGGATTGGAGCTCGAGCTCTGATTCCGTGGCACGGGGTTTGCGTACGCAAGTCATGCACGTGCTTTGGGAAGAGGTTGACTTGCTGAAACCTGGCTCACCAGATCGACTCCATGCAACAGCGTTCACATCCGCATGCCGTCGTCACATGGTGCAAGTGGATTCGGTGAATCCGAAACCTTCGCTATCTTTAATCAGCTACGGGCCCACATGATACATGGGATACGGTGGCTTCATGATTAGGGTTTCAAACGACATCGTCCCAACTCCGTCGCACTCGGTCTAAGCTTGACGAAGCTTAGTATGAAGGGAGTGGGAAGAGTCTTCATTCATCCATCTGCCTGCAAAGAAGCTTCTCCTCTACAATCCATGAACTCAAGATATACTTAAAACGTCTTTGCTAACCAAACAGCAGACGTAAATTTTCCTCTTCTTCTTTTTCTAAATACTACAAACAAATTCCAGAAGAATGATGATAGTATATAACTTGATATCTCAAGGAAATAATAACAAGAAACAAGGTGAAAGAATCGGATTAAGCTTGCTTCGCTTCGGCATCCATGCCCACGCATTGAGATAAGCAGCAACTCCTGTGCATTCCTTGGCATAAAGTATCCACTGTAAAATCTCTTGCAGTGCATATGTATTTGCAGGTAAATTATAGCTGAACACCTCCTTGGATCAGCACTCTGATACCAAACAAGGATTAAACGTCATGTGGAGAATTAATTTCAATTACAATTAATCTGTACAACCGCCCTTTCACTTTTACAACAACACAATGCTGCTTTCAGTAATTTCTTAAGAGAACCTGCATCACTCGGGCGCTACTTCTAAAACCAAGAGGCGTAGCCGCTGCTTGTGTACTCTACCAGATTGATAAGGGGGTTACAATCTCATAGTTGCAATGATAGATTTGGATTCTGTGAATCTAATAGAACGCCAGAAACAGGCGACCCTGGTGACCGGAAACCAACATTTAGATCAGGAGGTACAGAACTCAACTTCGGATTCGGCGACAATCCCCTCCTCCATGTGCCGTGCGGATCATGGCCAGAATCAGGCAAGTGGTTGCCCGAACTTGAAGATGCACTTGGATCAGCATTCGAATTCAGCTTGTCCATCCTGAAAGGGCTCGTGGTTGTTTGACTACTGTTTCTTAGAACCATGTCCGGTGCTCGAGAATGCGTTCTCACCGATTCTGAACTTGTGCTCTCTGTTGAGGCAAATGTTGCAACAACCTTGCCGACTTGAGAGAGACGATTTAATCCCAATGGGGTGTTAAAACCATTCATGGTGGGTTGTGTGGCTGCAGCTTGTTCAAGTTGGAATGTAGTCTTTTGCCAATTAAGATGGCCACCAACAGCATTCTCTGGCTTGAACGCACTATCATGGTTTCTTGCAGCGCCCTCCGTCAGACCTACTGATCTACTTGGGAGAGCAGATGATGCAGCTGGTGGATTTGTGTTGGCACGAACTTCAACAAACATGCTGTTTGGGGGATGTTCAGATGCTGATACAGCTGTAGTGGTTGAAATGTTTTCTGGTTGAGAAATATGGGAAGGAGATATAGTTAGTAGGGGTGGCTGAGACTGTTGTGGTGTTTCATTATCTCCAACCCATCCACGGCCAAATTTCGTTCCAGGAGAAAGGACAGCTTCAATTCGTTTAGCAGCAATTTCCCAGCCGATGGGGCCAAGCTTTGCAGCAAAACGTGCCAAGCTCCTGGCATAAGCATGCTCCACATAAAGGCCAACCTGGTTACATTGGAACCATCAACAACTGTTTGGAAATTCCGTTTAATGACAGACTCTTGAATAACATTAACTATCTTAAAATAAGTTAGAAAAACATTAAAACAAGTAAAGGAAAACATGGACAATGAAAAGGTACAAGGCAACACATGCAAATGGGATAATATCATTGGACCCCTGGAAGGTACAAATGTAGACAAGACTTACATAAAGGTACATAACTTGATACTTACCGGAACCAGTTGCCTTCTCTCTCCATCAAATGTTGTTAACAATGATGACTCACTTGTGGAACCGAACACCTGGGGATGGCTGTATGTGATGCGCCGATTTTCATTTATAACCAAAGACTTCCTAGGATTTTTCATCAAGACACCCTTAACTGCAGAACCTGCATGAGACCCAGAAAGAAAAAATTCTAAATTTTGCCAATAAAACGATCATTTTATATTTTTGTTCATTGGAAGGTGCCTGATTATATAATTGGTAAACCAAACCTGAATTTTCCTCATTTTTTTCATACTTGTGCTCGCCAGTCAAATTATTGGCTTCAATACTGTGAAGACCATAAGGTTTTGTAGGTAGCTCAGACGAGCTGGCTTTATCTATTCCTTTTCGTTGGAAATCATGTGAGAAGTTCCAATGGCTATTATCTCCAGCATTAGCAAGTGTCGCATTTGAAGGGAAATTGGAACCAGCATGGTCAGCAGGAGGCCTACCAGCTTTCTTTAGAACATTCTTATATGGTGGCCTGCCTCTCCTTACTGGCTTAGGTTCTGGTTCGTTATCATCACTTTCTTGTCTTAAGTTCTCGAAGTTCTTTTTTGCAAGCTCTTGTATGGATCGTGCCTGTACAGAGAAACACCAATCAACATCAGACATTAAAACCTGACTTGTCATCTCCGAAATTTAATGTAGAATACAATGATAGGGCTGAAGCAGAAACCTGGCGGTAGTAGATTGTATCTGGTGCATTGTACTGCATTGCGTTTGAACTGATTAAGAAGACATCTTTCTGCAAATTACATATAAGCATTAAGTTAGAAATTTCTTCAGTTTAATGGTAAACAAATTTCAACTCATGTAGTACTGAAGAAAGCACAAGAAGAGAGAAACATAGACTACACATATTAACAATATCACTAAGCAAAAGAAGCTCAAGAGTCAAAGATAAATACAAACTGGTAACATTGAAGCAGATACAAAATGGCAACCTTTATCTCAGCAAAAACTGTCCTGTTTGGATTCTAACTTAAAAAAAATTGCAAGAATGCATTTCGGTTGTTATTAAGCTTGTGCCTCAATTTGGCATAAACCTCGATCGAATGACCAGCTGCAACAGGTCACCATTGCAAGATTTAACATCAATTTACCATCTATTGTTCATTCTCATAAATGCTCCAAACAAATCAGATAATAAACAACTTTACGTGAATAACCATGTAACGTGCACATACAGAAAATTTAACTAGCCCTAAACACATATGGAAGTCAGCAACGCAGCAGGTCATGAAAATTGTGGCCATAGATAGTCACTGTAGAACCAAGCCATACATGAACATAAAAATAAATAGTTTTATTTGTAAAGTTTGGTCACATACGAGTATTCAAGAAATTCAAATTACTATATGCCCATAGATAATAAATAAACAAAGGTCAATCTTGATAAATTGGTGCTATAAAATAAACCCTGTAAATCGATAACAAAAAAGTATATAAAAGACAATCAGAAGCTGGTTGATTAAAAGAGAACACACCAAGTACAACTTTGAGTCTTTGACAATGGGGATATGTATAGCATTCCAATAGAATCTGGTGACTAAAAAAATACAATAGTTTGATTAACATCAAGGGCTCAAATCTCGTCGATACAGGTCGATACAGACCAGTATTTACCAGTATTCAATGATTATAATCATCAGAATCAAATATGTTGTCTTAATAATTATTTTGATATAAAAGGGTGAATCTAAGAGTGAGACTTGTACAGTGGTAAGATCTGGACAATCAGGATTCGAGTCACTAGAATGAGATTGTGTATGTTGATCCTCCCCAGGCTAGAATAAAAGTTTTCTATTAAATAATAAAAATAAAGGAGCAATTTCTCTGCTCAAGGAATTCACATGGTTTTAATTTCTATATATTAAATAATAAACAGAGAAACTATAGAAGGTATTCATTTTAAATTATCATTATGACACTCCTCAACGGAGTTTACAGTTGTAATGTAAATAAACAACTAAAAATTGAAGATCATTCTAAACTAACGACGACTCAAGAAAATATAGAATATCTTGAATATCACTTGGTTGCATTGCTATCCTCCCCATTGGCCGACCTTCATCTTGAGCACCAAGGGAATGGTTGGACATCACAAAATATGGGGGGATCCACCAAGGACTAGCCTCCCATCCCCAAGAAAATATGGAATATGTTTTATATCACACAGTGGGGCTGCTACACTTCCCATTCGGGGTGGCATAGGCTGGTCTCCTCCTCTTAGACTCCAAGAAGGGGGCCAAAATCTTAACCAGTCCTAGCATGTTTGTCTTTATTCCAGATTGATCAAGAGATCTTCCAAGCTAGTTCTTGGATGAATTTAAGAGTGATTCATCTAGATAATGTCAAGTTGAAGTATTATAGCCTAAATTATAATCCATCTATGAGTTGGTCAAAATGTTCCATCAGATGATCAAGAAAACCAATCAAACTTTTGTAAAGCTGGAACAAGTGTCCACAAAAGTCTGCATCTGCTACAGCCTAATGTAGCATTGCAAGGGCTCCCTTGGCAACACAACTCCAATGGGCAAGCCCAAATGCTGGTCAAGCCCCTGCATGGAGGCAGTTGGGATCCTAGATTGGTCACCCCTTGGCCAACCCAAAAATTGTTGATATAGGGTCTTTTTGCCATGCAAGACAATCCTACAACTGAGAATGAGTGCATCAAACTCCCCCTTCCTTTTGGTTTCCAAAAATTCGCATCACCACAATTGTCCCCTCCTAGTCTCTCTTTTTCCCCTAGATGAGAAATCAATAATCAGTAGTAAAGAATTTGATGAGTTATGGCTCAGCTTGATCTTTAGTTGATCTGAAATTTTCAACAATGAATGGGGACTCTTCTGAAGCCATGTAAAGATATTTCTAGAAACATTAAAGTTGAATCTGAACTATT